TCAGGAAAACTATTTTTGTTATTCATACATAAACTCCAAAGCACACAGATTCCTAATAAAAAATCCCAAATCACCAAAAGTGTATGTACTATTCCATATACATTTTCTGAAAAACATTAAGAAAAATAATTATTCCTATTAAAGACTATAAAAGTTTTTTCATACATGACTAAGAAAGGAAACTTCTACCCTCTTGCTGGTCTGTTTATACACTGAGTCCAGCCCCAAGGCCTGACAGGTTTCTAGTAGATATAGGTTTAAATATTTTAGTTTCTAGGTGATCTCTCTGGTCTCCACCATTAGCCTGGTGTACCAGGGTCCAATTGTGGTTTCTCAAAGGCCACATTAGCCTCATCCTAAGGATAATAACACACCAATATGGGAGAATCCAAACTCTTCTAGAGTTAAAATTTGCTCCTGAGGCAGTGCCCCTACTCAGCTCTCCTTCATTGAGCCTGAATTTTCAAATTACACCCCAAGAACTGATCAGTGGAACAAATAAAAGCAGCATAAGCAGGCTGGGATGCAAGTGGGGTTGCAAACACACAAGAAAGCTCTCATCACTAAAAAAACTTAATTGCACCTAATCAAGAGTCTTGAAATAGTTAATGTTTTAACATACCAGCACACTGCTAAAGGCTGGAGCTCACAGCCCTAGGAGCCCTGGAATGTGCCTGCAGCCTTCCCTTTCACTTCTAAGCAGAGGACAGGATTTTAAAGAATGTTCTTCTGTTTCCTAGAGGCGGATCCAGCACGTTTCAGAAGCTTCAGGTACTTTTGATTTCAAGATTAAGGTTATCAGCTTCAAGTAGCCATGACCTATGGTTTGCATATTGTCATTGTATTCATGAAGTATTCTACCATTATGTTGGAATCTTACTTAGCAAAATGCACATTTTATGGCTGTAATTCACCCCTGAAATACAACCCTGTATTACTTGGGAACTGTAAAATATTACTCCTAGAACTAGATTACAGTGGATAACTCAAGAATATGCCATAACATTTTGCATCTTTACTGCATCTTTCATTCAGAGCAATCAATACCCATTGACAGAAGCCTATTCATAAGACCCCGGAAAGATCAACGAGCTCTTCCACTAGTTCATGATGGGCTGACGAGGCAAGGGGCAAACCACAAGTGAGTGAGATCCCCAGGAGAAACAAGCAGAGAGGAAGGAGGATGCAGCTCCAGGAGGACCCCAGGAACAAAAGGTCCGTATTGCCCCCTCTTCCCACTCAGATGTGTTGTGGGGTCGATGGTCCAGGCAGAGAAGAACTGGACACCCTGCTGCCATTTGACTGGGCTTTGGGGCAGACCCAAAACGACCCTAAGTGCACTTAACAGCAGCTGAGTGACTGGAAATGTAAGCAATGTCAGGTCTGCACGGTTTTTGATTTTTGTTTTCCTTTTTTTTGTTTGTTTGTTTTGCTTTTTAATAAACTGCTGTGTAAAACATTCTTTAGAATAACAAAAAAACCCAACCAAACAGTGTCTTGCCTTCAAAAGGCAGCCCTTTAAATAATAATAAT